AGTTCAAACCCAAACAGCCCCAAATCCAGCCTGACCCCAAACTCAGCGTGGCCCCAAATTGCTCCAAACTCTGCCTGACCCCAAACTCAGTTCAAACCTGAACTGCCCCAAATCCAGCCTGACCCCAAACTCAGCCTGACCCTAAGCTCAGACTGACCCTTAACTGCTCCAAACTCAGCCTGGCCCCAAACTCAGCCTGAACCAAAACTCAGCCTGGCCCCAAACTGCCCCAAACTCAGCCTGGCCCCAAACTCAGTTCAAACCTGAACTGCCCCAAATCCAGTTGGACCCCAAACTCAGCCTGACCCCACACTCAGCCCCTCAGCCTGATCCCAAATCTACCCGAATCCCAAACTCAGCCTGACCCCAAACGCAGCCCGGCCCCAAACTCGGCACGACCCCAAACTTACGCTGACCCCAAACTGCCCCAAATCCAATCTGACCCCAAACTCAGCCCTACCCCAAATGCAGCCTGACCCCAAACTGCCTCAAATCCAGTCTGACCCCAAACTCAGCCTGGCCCCAATCTCACCCCAACCCCAAACTCGGCCTGACCCCAAACTGCCCCAAACTCAGTCTGACTCCAAACACAGCTCAACCCCAAACTCGCTCCAACCCCAATTTGCTCCAAACTCAGCCCCACAACCTGACCCTGCCCTGATCCTACATGATTTAATCCAACCCCAAACTCAGCCCTAACCTTAAACAGACGCAGCTTCAGCTCCACCCGGGCTGCTGTGGGGTCTGAACCCTTCCTGCAGCTGTGATCCTAAAAACACAGGATTGAACCTAAACCCTAATCGAACCTAAACCCAGCCCAGCCCCAAATATACCCTACATACACAGCGCTTAAACCAACCCCAACCCAGCCCAAACCCCACTAATCCCAACCCAGCCCTGATCCCAAATCCAACCCAGCCCTGATCCCAAACCCCAACCCAGCCCTGATCCCAACCCAGCCCTGATCCCAAATCCAACCCAGCCCTGATCCCAAATCCAACCCAGCCCTGATCCCAACCC